GCCCTTCTAGGCCGAAGGCCCAACGGCCCCAGCGAGGAGGAGGCCAGGCAGTCAGCGCTGCCCCTGGTGCCCAGCAGCCATTCTGGCCCCTGCCCATGGCACGGCCACGCACTGTCCCTGCCAGGAGCCTTGGAGAAGGATGGAGGCAGGGTCTGTCTTGAGGGCTGGGCCTGTGGTGGACATATAGTCATGACACACATGGCCTGTGAGCTTGTTTCCATGGAAATGGGGTGGGGCAAGGGCCTTTGCCACCTTCTGAGGCCAATCTTGCCGTCGGGGGTCCCTCAGAGTGGCGCCCCTGCCTCATCCCCCATGCTCCAGCCTCCTGGCCCATGGCAGCCTCTCCAGAGGAAGCCCCCAGCCCTTCCCAGAGGGGCTCTGAGGGTGTGCAGGGGGAGCTCCACTAAAAGTAGGACACGATTCTTCAGGCCTCACCCCTGGGGCCGACCCAACCAGCAGACCACAGGGATCAGGGTCTCAGCCCTGGCTCTGCTGACCCAGTGGCCTCATACCCCTCACATAACCCTGTTCCTATCTGGCTGACCACCCTACCCTCCCCACACCTGCCCAGTCACCACCATGACCCCTGTTCCTGTTCCCTCCCCAACCCAGGGTCCCTGTCCAGTCCAGGCTCCTGGCACTGCCCAAGGCTCGAAAGACGGGGGACCACATTTGTGGACAGAGTCATGGAGATAAACACCAAAGATTTTATTTAGTGCATGAAAGTGGGGTGGGAGGGATACCTTTCGAACAATAGAGAACCGCTTTGTGGCTGCTCACCCCCAAGTGGGAGAAACAGAGCCCCCGCCCAGGCAGCAGGCGGCCAGGGCCCCACCCCTCCCCTGGAGGTGGCCCTGCCCAGCTGTCTGGGGATGGCAGGGCTGTGGGCAGCCAGGCCCTCTGAGCTCCCCAGGTGCGAGAGCATCTCCGAGTGGAGTCAAGACCGCCCAGGCGGGGCCAGGGCAGAGCATGAGCAGAACCGTGCTGGACAGCGGGGTCACCCCGCCCTGGCCAGGCCCCTGCGGCCCACCTGGTGGGGGCTCCAGGAGGTTAAGGCATCTGTCCGTGTGCTGGGTGCGGGGAGAGGGGAGCGCACTGATCCGCAGGGGCACCTGAGGCCCCTACTCGGCCTACCACAGAGCCCAGGCTCCCTGGGGAGGAAGTGTCATGTAAAGTGCTCGGTCAGACAGGGAGGTTGGGGACGAGGCACCTGGGAAGGCCGTGCTGGTCCCAGCAGCCCAGGGGCCTCTGCCTGGGGCGTTGGAATCTCTGCAGCAGGTGGGGACTTCCTGAGGTGGGAGGGCACAGGGTCACGGGCCCTGGTGGGCTCGGGGTCAGACAAGGTGCAGCTGGTGGACAGGGGACCCCAGCCCACATCCCAGGGTCCGTGGCAGCCTGCCTCCTGGGCTGTCCTTCTGGGCTGGGCTGTCCTGAGCCCTGGAGTGGCCTACTTGGAGTCCCGCTCAGGCCCCGGAGAGGCTGGGGAAAAGGCTGGAGGCAGCCGAGTGCAGGCGGCACACAGCCCCGCGGTAGGGCGCCCCAGCAGCCGGGCTCCAGGAGGCCCGCAGAGCTGGGCGGTCCTCAGGGAGGCCGAGGTGGCAC